AAAGATTCACTGGGCAAATTATTGAATGATGCAGAATGCATCAAGAAAAGATGGAAGGAATACACAGAGTCATTGTACCAGAAGGAAATGGTTAATGTAGTAGAAAAAATAAAACATGAATTCAGAAACCGTATACAGGGTTGCTATGAGTCAGAACTGACACAATGGCAGTTGGTTTGGGTTTGGGTTAGTGAGACCAAAAGATCAACATTTTACCCATGAATGAAGTTCAGAAGAATTAGGGCAGAAGGAGGAATGGAAACAGGACACTCAGTGAGGACGTGGGTTGAGTGATGTTCCATTGTGAGGATCGCAATCAATAACATGAAATAGAATACGCATGAGTTGCTGAATGGAAAACTGATCTGTTCTGTGACCCTTCACCCAATTTACAATTAAATAAATTAAAATAATGTTAACTTAAGGCGATGCTGGGGGAGGCGGTGTCTGAGGTTTTTTGTGTTTTTTTTTCCTAAGAGGTACATCAATTACTCCATTTTGCAAGCACTAAACTAATGGGTGATTGATAGTGACTCTACTGCCAGTTCTTTAAACACAAAACACAGTCCTTCTGACCTTCACACTCAGGAATGTTGCAGTAGTCAAATCTTTTTTCTGGGTTGGTTGTGTAACACCAGGGACCCTTCTCATCATTGTCTGGATTCCGGCAGTAGTTCTCAACCAGGTCCTCTGAAGGGCATTTTTCAGGGGTATAGCTGCAGAGTGTGGGAACAAAGCACATTGACTGGCTATATTTTTTAAACAAATGTATTATCAGCAAGTCAGGTTAAAATGTTCTGTCTGTTCCTGTCATCCCAGCACATCCCAGTCCTGCTATAGTGTGGTATCAGAATTTCATGTCGGGCTGTGTTCAGGCACAGTAGCTAAGGTGAGCATTATTGCTATATTGACAGAACAGTGTTAGCTGTAGAGTCAAAGCATTTTTATTCACAGCAGAAATAAAAAGGCCTCCAGAGCCTGCAAGAGATTTTTATTTATTCCAAACACTTGCTTTTATCAATTGCCCTTCGCTCTGTGAAAATAATATTGGTTTTATTGTTGTTAGGTGCTGTTGAGTCAGTTCTGATTCAAAGCAACCCTGAGACTGTACATTTCTATGGGAGAAGAAAGCCTCATTTTCTCTCACTGAGCAGCTGGTGGATTCAAACCTATGATCCTGTGATTAACAGACCAACACATAACCCACAACACTACTTCCCCAGTAATGGTTTAGTACCATTTATGTATTGCTCACTATGTAGTCTGTGTGAACTAGGTGATGGTCATTACATTAAAACCTTTTTATATATTCTCTCATGGGGTGTGAATACAAACTCTACCAAACCAAGCCCACTCAAGTAGATTCCAACCCATAGCAACCCTGTAGAGCAGAGTAGAATTGCTCCACAGAGTTTCCAAAGTTACAAGTCTTTAAGGAAGCAGACTGCCTCATCTTTCTCCTGTAGAGTGGCTGTTGGATTTGAACACCAACTTCTTGGTTAGCAGCCAAGCACCTTAACCACTGTGCAGATGTTGTCCTTATTTCACAAGTGAGGAAACTGAGGTGCAGCCAAGTAAAACAAAATAAATCTTGCCTGTTCTGGAACAGCATATAAGATCAAGCTCCTAGACCAAGGGTGGTCTGCAAATTCTGTGTTCTCTTGGGCACAGCCTGAGCTCAGTCAGGTGGCAGGGTTGAGGGACTAGCCTCATTCTCAGTCCCAGTTGGTGACTTGCTATGTGAACATTGCAAAGTAAAGAGCAAGCATGAGACTTGGAGTCTACACAGACAAGTTTTGTCTCTGGTTTTTCACATACCTGTTTCGGGACATATTAAACGGGCCTTTCTCGGAACCTCAATTTGTTCATCTGTGATGCAGAATGGGCCAAGATTTTCTCCTAGGCCCCTAAGGTTTAGGATTTTGCTGTTTGGTCTGATTATTTCACCTCTATGAGTTGAAAGTCTTGTTCATCTAACAGGGAAATTGAGTCTGCTCACCTGACACAGATGCAGTAAAGCAAAGTTGTTTGGGGGTTGCAAACACTAACTTGCTACTTAATAAGGGGTCAGAATGAACAAATCTTTGTTGGAATTAGTACAGCCAGGATAACGATTAGAAGCCAGGATAACAAGTCTTTGTCTCTCATACTTTGGACATATTGTAAGGAGGGACCAGTCCCCGGAGAAGGAGATACATGCTTGTAAAAGTGGAAGGTCAGTGAAAAAGAGAAAGACCCCAATGAGATGGGCTGACACAGTGACAACAACACTGGACTCAGTGTTGTTATGAGGATGCTTGGTGTTTCCTTCTGTTGTGCATGGAGTTGCTATGAGTCAGAACTGACAAGTTGTAGTTAAGTGTTAACCAGTCGGTTCCTACTCATAGCAACCCTATATAGGCTTTTCAGGGTGCAACTGCTGGGTCTGAACTGTTGACCTTGTGGTGTAAAGTCCAGTGCTGATCCTACAACACCACACCAGGAGCTTGTTGTTGTTGTTGTTGTTGAGTGCCATCGAGTCGGGTCCGACCCATAGCGACCCTGTACAGGGTTTCCAAGGGTGTAAATCTTTACGGGAGTAGAAAGCCTCATCTTTCTCCCGCGGAGCGGCTGGTAGTTTCGAACCGCTGACCTTAAGGTTCGCAGCCCGATTCGTAACCACTACGCTACCAGAGCTCCAGGAGCTTAAGGCCACCTAATGTCATACTAAGATGTGGCTTGGATGACAATCCATTAAGTCACAAAAGCCATAAGATAATCCATTTTCAATCTGTTTTACCTACTCTTGTGCTTCAGTGGGCTCAGTGTTGAGGTGAACATGTGATCAAGTGCTACAGTGGTATGTGTGAGTTAGACCATCTCAGTTCTAAACATAGTCATCTTTCATCATTTCTCAGACCCGATTCAGAATTCACATTTTGATTTTTCTCCTTTGTTAGGTAGCCTTCTCTGCTCTAGGACTTCCAGAGAATCATATACTCAGAAGTAATTGGAGGATAGTTACTTTCTGCACTTCTGTTACAAATAATTGAAGTCGTGGGTTAATGTGCTGGACTGCAAAGTTGGTTTGAACCTCAAGGTGATCAGTTCAAGCTTACCAGTCGCTCCTTGGAAACCCTAAACAGGATCGCTATGGGTCAGAACCAAGTCCATGGCACTTGCCAGTCAAGTGGTTATACTACATCACCACACCAGGACTCTTTTCTGGATAACCTGAGATATTTCCTCATGTTCATTCAAACTACTTTGAAAATTCAAATGCATATTCCTCATCACTACATTATTTTAGAAAGAAAAATATTGTCGTTGTTAAGTGCTATCGAATGGCTCAGACTCAGTGACCTTGTTTTGGGTTCCCAAAGCTGTAAATCTTTGTAGGAGCAGAAAGCCTCATCATTCATCCTAGGAGTGACTGGTGAACTTGAACCTCAGACTTGTCTTTCATGGTCCAGTGCTTTTCCTACAGAGCAACCGCACTCCCAATACCTTCTGAGTGGTGTCTTATAAAAGGGGAAGATAGACAAGGAGACAGAATCACACAGAAGAAAGGCAGACACTATGTGAAGATGCATCCACAAGCCAAGAGAAGTCTGGAATTCTAGAAATTGGATGTCTCACTAGCACCTGGGGAGAGAGCATGGCCCTGCTGAAAGTCTGTGTTTGGACATCCAGTCTCCAGAACTGTGACTTTTCTCATCTGTACAACTTTCTGCTTCATGGTATCTTGTGACAGTAACACTAGGGAACAAGATAAACTTCCATTTTATTCTGTCAAAACTGTCATCACTCATCTGGTTACACTGAGATGTCGTGGAATTGCTCTACCTACACACAGCATGTGGACAAAGATGAAAGAGGAACTCTTACTTGGGTTTGTGAGGAAACTCGGCGCCCCACTTCTGGCACAGAACACCATCTCTGGTCTTGGCCATGGTGCCCCTGTAGTTCTTTCCATTTCCGGTCCTGCACTCTGAAAGATACACTGGAAGAAAGCCAAAGCCGAGTGTGAGACCACCCACTAGGCCAGCAGTCTGAGGAGAAGGCCGTAATGCTTGGTCACCTGAGTGAAAGCTCTCTATTGCAGAATGAAACACCACCAGAGCCCAACCTCTTCTTGCAGTCTAACAGTGTATTTCTCCATGAAGATTTTGAAGCCCTTCATACACTTATCAAGAGTCCACTGTTTTTATTATAAAAGTTTATATCCAGTTATTTCATTTGAAATGATCCGAACGATACAGAAATGTGGAAAGAAAGAAATAGAATGATTGCTCTGCTTATAGTTTTTTAAACTAAGTTGATGGTTCTAAGTACTGAAAAGAGCTGAATCATTGTTGAAATTGCTGTCAAGTCCATTGAGAGCAAGTCAAGTCCTTGACTTAGGGGGGGAATCATAGAAATTTCAAAGGAAGCCTACTGTCAGACTGATAAAAACATGTCTTCAGATCTTGCTCCACTTCAGAGAGAAAAAACGGATTATTTTATGCAGTGCATCAAAGTGTAAATAGTTTACACAAGAAATTCAACAGATAAATCTTGCTGTTGCTGTTAGGTGCCACCGAGTCAGTACCGACTCACAGCGACCTTATGCACAGCAGAATGAAACACTGTTCGATCCTGAGCCAGCTTCACTATTGTTGCCACGCTTGAACCCATTAATACTGCCACTTTGCCAATCCACTTTGCTGGGGGTCTTCCTCTTTTTCTCTGACCCTCCACCTTACCAAACATAGTATCCTTTGAACCTATATTAAAAATAAAAAAAGAAAGAAACCTCTGCTCACCATCAAAAAGTGCTGACATTAATCTAGGTTTCAAATGAAAATCTAAAAGGTTTAAAATATATGTGTATGATACATAAACATGTATGTTTTATGATACCTGATCAATTACCAGGATAAAACCCTTCTAATAGAAAAGAAAAGAAAAGAAAATACCAGCTGCTGTCAACAAGTCATGGCGACTCCATGTCTGTCAGAGGAGAACTTTGGACCACAGAATTTCAATGGCTGATTTGGGGGAAGAAGATTACCAAGCCTTTCATGGACTCAAACCTCTGCCCTTTCATTTAATAGCTATGTCAAACCATTTCCACCACACTTGTAATGTACCTAGAGCAAACTGCAATACTTTTACCTCAATACTATATAAAATGATTGCAAATGCATCTTCATTCAGACACATTATTACACTAAATATATTACAAATATGTGTTTGATATATTTTGCATATCGAAAGTGAAAAATGCAGGAACTTTGTAAAGGGGAGGTCCCAGGAGCCAAGGAAGACTTTGAAAAGGAGGTGATATTGTGCTGAGACTGAAAGAGATCAAGCAATTGTCCACGGGCAAGGCAGAGACCAAGGACATCCAGACTGAAGAAGTGTGTCACTGGAGAGTTTGAAGAACAGGGATACCACCAACGCGGATGTTTGTGAGCCAAAGATACAAATGCTAATGACCAGCAGCATTTGGTCAGCATTCAGGATTTATTGCAAGTACACGCTGAAGAATTCTAAGCAGGGACATCACGTGTTAAAGTTACCAATGTGCAAGCCACTCCTGGGTAAGGTGGCTGATGACAACAGTGATGCAAGCTGGGGTCACTGGTGGCTTGGATTGGTAGTGGAAGCAGGTTTGGAGGAAAGTGACAGGTGTCATTCTGATCCGACACTAGTTGCCCCCCCAGGAAAACCTGGGTAGGGGTCTGTTAAGGGATCGATACTCACCAGTAAGGAAACAAGCACTGTTGACTTTCAACCTCTTTTTGTTTGTCTGTTCCCGTCCGTGTTTATATAACCTTCCCATCCCGCTGGTCACCTTGAACACAGGCAACTTCAAACTAATGCTGGCAGTTACTCCTGTGTTCCTTTTGGTTAACAATTTACAAATGACATATTTAAATCTTTGTTTTCTAAGGAAAATCGTACCATACATATAAATAAGGTGGCTTCAAAACGTTCGTGAAATTTTTCATTTTTCCACGAACGTTTTGAAGCCCCCTTATATATTATTGTAATCCTTGTGATCTCTTCCTTTAACAAATATTAAGTTCAGCAGATACATTTTCCATTTAATCTGTACTTTAGTCTCAGGAATTAGAAGTAAATGGGTAAGGGGAGGAGGGCTGTAGGGACACAGCTAACTGAACCTAAAAAGATGCATCAATGCATAGAAGCAGCACAAGCCTGAAGAAATACTTGTGAAAATCTTAAAAATGAACTGTTGCCATAGACTCAAGAGACTGTTGCAAATCATTGTCATACATATACAAAATATGAAGGTAAGTAACAAAAGTATTGCTACAAAATCAAAGTAATCTTTATTAAACAAAAACATCAAAATGTGAAGCTATCATTTCTGGACCCCTCCTTTATCTAGGTCTATACACTGTGAAGGTGGAGTTTCCGGCTCCCTAACCTTTTCCCCCGAGAATTCTGTGCTCCTCCACTTACACCACAACAAAATGGCAGTTTTGGCATCCTTGAGGGACTCGGAGTGTGTTCCTTTTAAATGTTCTTTGAGAACAAAAGTCTGAAGGGACAAAGTCAGGGTTGTGGTGTGAATGTGGTAAGGGTTCCTACTGAGACTTTCTTAGGGTAGCTGTTGCTACCTTTGAAAAATGAGTAGGTCCATTGTTGTGATAGAAAAGAAAAAATTCCTCAGTGCAACTCTCTTGGCCTTTTTCTCATCAATGCAGTGTTCAATTTTCTTAATACTTCTTCCTAATAAGCCCCTGTGATCGCCTCCTGTGCTTCAAGAAAATCTATCAAGATGACCCCTTTGGAATAATTTAAAAAAATAATAATAATGCCTCCATGACCTTTGAGCTCTACCTTGAATTTAACTGGCCCAGCAAATTCCCTCAGAAGTCACTGTTTTGATTGGACTTTTTTTTTTGGAAGGCACCCTAACAAGACTCAGACAAATGTATCACTGAGAGAACTTGCCTGTAGCCATCCACTGATCACAGAGACATGTTTACACACGTTTTGTGTGTAATAAACCCACACATGTATGAATTGGAAATCTAGAAGCACTACTTTTTGACCGACCCTCATACATGAAACAAGATCTTGTTGGAGTCTCTGAGTGGACAAACAGTTAAGCACAAGACTTGTACCCAAAAGGTTGGCAGTTTGAACCCACACATAGGCTCCTCGGAAACAGACCTGGCAATCTGTATTCCAAGGATCACAGAAGTACATTTCTAGGGAGTGAAGTTCTACTCTGCACACACAGGGCTGCCAAGAATCGAAATCAACTCGACTGAAGTGGTGTAGGGTTTGTTCTGCTTTGCTTTGGGCTTCTTTATCACCCTCAGTTACAGAGCACTGGTAGAGGGGAATTGGTATGATAAATGGTTTATAATCAGGACAGCTGTGGTCCAGGCTGGAATCACTGGTGACTTGGATTGGTGAAGGCAGCAGGCTTGGAGGAAAGTGACAAGGGTCATTCTGATCTGACACCAATCTGAACCTGGGGTGACTGCTTACATTAGTTTGAAGCTGACTGTGTTCAAAATAATGGTCAGGATGGGGAGGTTAGATAAACAGGGATGGTACAGACAAACAAAGAGAGGTCAAATAGTACCTAACAGGGAAGCATGGTAACTCTGTAGGATAAGCACTGGACTGCAAACCACAAGGTCAAAGGTTCAAATCCACCAGCAGCTCAATGGGAGAAAGATGAGGCTTTATGTTCCCCCAAAGATTTACAGCTTCAGAATCCCTATCGAGGTTCTCTATGAGTCAGAAACAAATCAATGGTACTTATCAACAAGAATAATTAGCAAACAACAGAGCATAGTGTTAAAAATATCATATGTTCATTAAAATCTTATAGGGCTTTTGTATGTATAAAAAGACATATGATTTCCACAGGAATCCAGGCCACTTCCTGTCAAAAACAATGGGACCATATAGTCAGCATTTGGTAGTGGTGGTGGTTATGTGCTGTGGAGTTGGTTCCGACTCATAACAACCCTGTACAGGGTTTCTGAGGCTGTGAATCTTTACAGGAGCAGAAAACCTCATCTATCTCCCATGGAACAGCTGGTAGTTTTGAACTGCTGACCTTGCAGTTCACAGCCCAATTCATAACCACTACGCTACCAGAGCTCCTTTGAGAGAGAACACTAGAGAGAAGGAAATGAGGTTTTTGCACATTTAAGAGACAAGGAGAATAAAGGCCACAACCAAAGAAGTGGGCAATTTAAGACAGAAGCTAGGGAGCCTATCTCCATACAGACATGACTGCATCACCCATCCCCTTTCAAAAACCAAGAAGACACCAAGGTCATCAGGAATTTCAGACTCCTTCCTCCCCATCCCACCCCCACCCCCAGCTTCTTAAAAAAATAAAATACATATCTGAATGTCTCATGTTCAGGATCCTACAGGTAGAAATCAGTACATGACGCCCAAGAGGTGAAGTGGTACAGTCAAAGTTGACATAGCTCGTCGGTAGCCACACCTGCGCTCACCTTACCACCATAGTGTTTACATTTTCTGGCGTCATAGATTCAAGAGATAAAAGGGAAGAAGGAGAGGGAAAGGGAAGAGAAGAAAAAGAAGAGTAGGAGAAAGAAGAAGACGAGAAAGCATTGTACGCACTTGTCTTTTCAAATAAAACCACATCTCTCCTCCTGATAACAGTGGAAGACTTGCTGTTTTCAGCCATGATCACACATTGTTGCTCTTTTCTGTGATACTGGAAAGACCTGCAGTAGAAACAAATCCAAAACCACGCCATATGTCCCATTTATTTAAGAAAAGCAAACATTCATAGTCAACCTAATTCACTAGCAACAGCAAAAACTATTGTACCTCTTGACAGGCGAGGGAGCTCAGGTATACTCCCTTTCAACTAATTGTGCTGTAGCATCCATTGAGCACTGAAAATGAACTCATCCAAGCTACACTTGTTTTCACATACTTTTTCCCCTCCGAGTTTTTTCTTTCTTCCTTCGTTCCTTCGTTCCTTCGTTCCTTCGTTCCTTCCTTCCTTCCTTCCTTCCTTCCTCCTTTCTTTTTCCTTTTCTTTTTTCCTTCCTTCCTTTCTTTCTTTCTAAATTGTTTTACTCTTTCTTCACTGATCTTACTTAAAAGTTGTATGAAGAGCCAGGATATTTGCTTTTGTGTTGAAAGAAGCAACTCTGATTGCTTGTAGTGACCATTCCTAGGATGGTCTACATGACTCAGGAACTCCAGGTCTCCATTCTCCCCACTCCCACTCTACCCTGTACCCCATCAGCTTGTCTACCTTGGATGTTCAGCATGGCCTTCAAAGCCATTCACAGCCTACTTCCCCAGCTCATCAGAACCCTGTTTGAACCGCCTCCATTGTACCTTCCCCACACCCAGAATGCCTCCACCACGCCTTGTTGGTGCATATGAAGATTTTATCCACTCTTCAAAGCCTAGCTCAGTTCCCACCTCCTCCTGGAGATCTTCTCTAATGGTCCAACCCTTAGGGGTTGTTCTTTCCTCTGAATCAATACAGAGTTGATTATGCCACTTCCATGTGCCAGATACTTATCAGTACATCACATTAGCTGCCATAACTAAATCTATCTATCTATCTATCTATCTATCTATCTATCTATCTATCTATCTCTGTCATTTTTTTGTTAAGTGCCATAAAGTCACTTTTGACTCACAGCTACTCTGTATGTATTTCTGACGCTCTTTATAGGAGGAGAAAGACTCATCCTTCTCCCCAGGTGCAACTAGTGGGCCAAAACCTCTAAACTTATGGTTGGCACTCTAGTGTTTATCCTACAGAGCCACAGCACTCCATATATACAAAGGTGAGTAAAAAATTATTCACCTTTTGACTATAGAATTTATTTTAATTAACTTTTAGAAAAGAAAAGTACATCATTTTTCACCAAAATCTCCTTGCTTTTCAATACACTTTGCCCATCTACCAACAAGCTTTTGTATTCCCTTATTAAAAATGCTTTTGACTGAGCTGTGAGTCAGGAATGAACTGCTGTTAGAGGTGAATCTTTGTCCTCAGAAGGCTGCTTTTAGAAGGAACAAATCTTTACAGTGAGAATCATTCCCACCCTCTAGGTACGCAGGGTTGACAGAGATGGGCAACTTAGACACTGGCTACCCAAAAGGAGGTATGGGGCTACAAAGGCAAGAAGTGACTGACTGGCTTATAAGCTTTCAAGAAGAAGCCTAGTTCCAGAGGGTGCGAGGAAAGGTAGAATCTCCACCTAGTGGTTTTCAATCTGCCTGAAACAGGCTGATGAAAGGAGATGGGGATAAGACTCTTGTGGTACAATAGTGAATAATAGCTATCAGGACTGACTGTGAAGGTTGAATATGTAAAGGTAGATGTTTTGCAGCAAAAGGAGGGGAGTGGTTGATTTTGCTGTCCAGGAGCGGAGGTCCCTGGGACCATCAAGGGAGAAGAGCAGAGTGTGGGACCCTACCCAGAGAAGCAGTGATGTCAGAGATGGGGGCAGAGAAGATGCCATGGAGAGATAGAGCAGCTGGAATCTGGACTCTGGACTCAGGGAGGGAGAGGGGCTGTGTATTGGTGGCCAGGGGTGGGGGTAGGCTTGCAGGAAGTACCCTTTGGTTGTTTGATGATGCATGCAGGAAATTGTAATCATTGCAATGAAACAAATAATGATAGGATGAATGTAAAGCTAATGTTCTCCCATGTAAACTATAGCATAATTCATAATTAAAAACTTAAAAAAAAATAAATAAAAGGCTGCTTTTAGGGGACCAAACAAGTGAAATTCCAGTGGAGCAAGATCAGGACTATAGGGAAGATGCTTTAACACCTAAAAATGAAGTTTTTGAAGAGTGTCAGCAATGTGGGCAGAAGTGTGTGGGCATGCATTATCACGGAAGATCACAATGCCCTTGGATAGCAGTCCTCTGCATTTAATCCAATGTTTAGGCTTCAGTTCTTTGTGAGCATCTGTAATAAGCATCTGTAACGATTGTTGAACATTTTTCCCAATAGTTTTCCAACACTGGTCCTTGAAAATCCCAGAAAACGGTAAGCATCAATTTTCCAGATGATGGGTGACTTTTTTTTTTAAGTTTTTAGTGTGATTTGGGTGAAAGTTTACAGGGCAGATCATCAGTTTCACATTCAACAAATCATATACTTCGTTTCATTACAATGATTATAATCTCTTCCATGTACCATCAGCTAACAGTATTTCTCTCTATCCATTTTAGCTTTTTTTTTTCTTTTTTAACACTCAGGCATATATAATAATTTAAATCACCAAAGGATACATCCTGCAAGCCTGCCTCCTGGTCGCCAGTTCTCAGTCCCTCTCTTTCTATGAGTCTAGAGTCCTCAGCTGTTGCCTTTCTCCATGTCCCCATCTCTGCCTCCATCTCTGGCATTGCTGCTTCTCTGGATAGGGTCCTGCATTCCACTTGTTTTCTTCTCCCTTGATGGTCTTAGGGTCCTTTGTTTCTGGACTGTAAGATTAACTATTCCCCCATTTTTGTTACAAAACTTTTACCTTTACAATTGTGACAGTCACAATTAGTCATGGTAATAATTATTCACTATTGAATCATAAGAATCTTATCCCCATATCCTTTCACCATACCCATCTAGACAAGATGAGAACTATCAGTGGGGACTCTATATTCCCCCAAACACTCTTATACTAAACTCCCTCTTGAAAACTTGTAAGCCAGTCACTTCGTGCCTTTATTGCCCACTCATTTTAGGTAGCCAGTGTCTAAGTTGTCCATCCCTATATACCCTGTATACAGCAGGGATAGCATCGATACTTGATGTGAAGACTCATTCCCTCTCTGTTGGTATTTTGAGCTACTACATCCATGAGAATAGGTTAAGTTCATCAAATTGTAGCAATTTGCCCTCATTTCTTTCATCAAAAGAAATTTTTTTTAATCATCCCCTAGTCAAGTTCTGATAATCAAGCCATCAAGGCTAGGTCAAATGGGTGTTATCTGCAACTTTGGGTGTTCTTGTGCATCTCCCCTCACTTCATATCAGCTGGATGCTTCACTCTCAGCTCTAGCCCTCTATGGCTACGTCCTTTTCCGTGGGCTCAGGTGTCCCCAGGTTTCTTCACACTTTGGACCAACCGGCCCTGCCTCTTCTTTCTCACATCTCCAGGTCAATGGGAGACTAATGAACGTGGTTGAACTCATCCCATTTCTTCAGTGCTGCCTTTTTGTCTCTGAGTCCACTCACCAATAGACCATTGTGGTCACCTGCAGGGTTATATGCCTGCACATGTGTTCCCTTTGAGTATCAGTCTTAGAGGGGAGTGATGGTTGACTTTTGAACTATTTCTTGGTCAGTGGTTGAGAATGTTTCTATTCCATACTCTGCTGTTTAATCTCAGGCTCATAGTGATGAATCCATGTCTCATCACCAGTAATGACTTTTTTAAAGAAACTTACGTTCCTTTGAGTATCGGTCCAAATTTTGTTTGCAGGTGTCCAAACACTTCTGCTTATGCACTTCTTTGAGTTTTACAGTACCCATCTCACACATACTTGTTGAAACCCAAGTTTCTCATGGATCATTTTATAGGTAGAGCCATTGCAGATTTGCAAATGATTTGTCATATAATCTACTGTCATTCATCTATATGACAGAATCATTTCACATGTATGCTCAACGTTATCTTCAGCCGTGGATGTGGAGAAGCATTTTAATATAACCAGAGTGCAGATAATTTTTGACTCATCCTCGTGTGTTTGTGTGTGTATGTGTGTGTATATATACTGTAGTGAAAGACATTAGATACAATGGGAACATTTAAATATATACTTTTTATATAGTCAATGTTTTCTCCTCTTCTTCCTCTTTCTCTTCTTTCTTCTGTTTCTCTCCTTCTCTTCCCTTACTCCCTCCTTCTCTTTTATCTCTTTCCTTTATGACATCAGAGAACGAAGGCTCTCTGGTAATGGTGAAATGGAAATCTTAGTTGCACAGGTGTGGTTACTAACCAGCTATGTAAACTTGACAAACACATATTTATATATATCTAGATTTAAAACCTACATTATATCCAGGTTCTTTGACTGCAGCATGCATACAAGAAGGGCAGGCACTGAAATTCTTTGTTCCTTAGGGTGCAAGCCATTTCCATTCATGCCATCTTCACTTAATATGTGTTGTTTGTGGTTGTGTGTCACTGATTTGGTCCTGACTCATAACGACCCTGCATAGGGTTTTCAAGGCTGTACATCTTTACAGGAGCAGAAAGCCTTATGTTTTTCCCATGTAGTGACTGGTAGATTCGAACTTCTCACCTTGTGGTTAGCAGCCCAGCTAAACAACTCACTGAGCTACCAGGGTTCCTTCAATATGTATTAATGACATTGAAGAGTAGGCCTCAGAACAATAGCTACTCGTGTTTATGTAATCTATAAAAAGGGGTTGCTAATAAATTAGGTGTGGTGCTGTAGAATAAGCACTGGACTGCTAACTGAAAAGTCAGTGGTTCGGTCCCACCAACTGCTCTATGGAAACCCTGTACAGGGTCCCAATGAGTCAGAATTGACTCAACAGCACTTAACAGCAACAACAAAAAACTTTGGGAGTCCTAGTGTAACACTGTAGAATAAGCACTGGACTGCTATCCAAAAGGTCAGTAATCCAAACCTACCAGCTACTCCTTGGAACCCCTATGTAGGATCAATATAAATCAGAATTGATTCAACAGTACTTAACAAGAACAATAAATGTAAAACAACAAACTGTTGATAAGTTTTCAGATTGAGGGAAGAAAGAAAGATTCAAAATTCTGATTCCATGACATTTCCTGTTGTTGTTGTTAGGTGCCATCGAGTCAGTACTGACTCATAGCGACCCTATGCACAGCAAACGAAAAACTGCCCAATCCTGGGCCAGACTCACAATTGTTGCTAGGCTTGAGTCCATCGATGCTGCCACCTAGCCAATCCATCTCATTGGGGGTCTTCCTCTTTTTCTCTGACCTTCCACCATACCAAACATGATATCCTTCTCCAGTGACTGGTCCCTCCTGACAATATGTCCAAAGGTGAAGTTTGGCAATCCTTGCTTCCAAGGAGCACTCTAGCTGCACTTCTTCCAAAACAGATCTGTTGGTTCTATGGGCAGCCCATGGCACTTTCAATATTCTCCTCCAACAACATAACTCAAAGGCATCAATTCTTCTGTGGTCTTCCTTATTCACCGTCCAGCTTTCACATGCATATGAGGTAATTGAAAAGACCATGGCTTGGGTCAGGCACACCTTGTCCTCAAGCTGACATCTTTGCTCTTCAACACTTTAAAAAGGTCTTGTGCAGCAGATTTGCCTAATGCAATACGTCATTTGAGTTCTTGACTACTGCTTTCATGAGTGTTGATAGTTGATCCAAGAAGAATGAAGTCCTTGACAACTTCAGTCTTTTCTCTGTTGGTAAGAATATTGTTTATTGGTCCAGTGGTAAGGATTTTTGTTTTCTTGACATTGAGATGTAATTCATATCAAAGGCTGTGCTCTTTGATCATCATCAGTAAATATTTTAAGCCCTTTTCACTTTCAGCAAGCAAGATTGTATCATCTGCATATCACAGGTTATTAATGAGTCTTCCTCCAATCCTGATGCCATGTTTTTCTTCATATATCCCAGCTTCTCAGATTATTTGCTCAGCATACAGGTTGAATAAGGATGGTGAAAGAATATAAACTTGTTACACACCTTTCTTAATTTTAAACTATTCAGTGTTTCCATGTTCTGTTCGAACAACTGCCTTTTGGTCCAGGTATAGATTCCTCATGAGCACAATTAAGTGTTCCAGAATACTCATACTTCACAGTGTTGACCATAGCTTGTCATGATCCACACAAGTAAAAGTCTTTGTGCAGTCAATAAAACACAGGTAAACATCTTTCTGATATTCTCTGCTTTCAGCCAGCCAAAATCCATCGGACATCAGCAATGATATACCTTGTTCCACGGCCTCTTCTGAATCCAGCTTGAACATCTGGAAGTTCTCTCCATCAATGTAAGCTTGCAACCATTTCTGTATTACCTTTAGTAAAACTTTACTCGCTTGGGATATCAAAGAGATTGTCCGATGATTTCCACATCCCATTGGCTTACCTCTCTTTGGAATGAGCACAAATATGGATCTCTTCCAATCAGTCATCCAGACAGCTGTCTTCCAAATTTCTTGGCAGAGATAGTGAGTGCCTCCTGTGCCACCTCACTTTCTTGAAAGATTTCAATTTTTATTCCATCAATTCCTGGTGTCTTTTTTGCCAATTCCTTCAATGCACCTCAGACTTCCTCTTTCAGTATCATTGGCTCTTGATCATATGCTACCTCTTGAAATGGTTGAACATTAACCATTTCCTTTTGGTACAGTGACTCTGTGTACTCCTTCCATCTTATCTTGATGCTTTCTGTATCATTCAAAAATTTGTCCAGAGAATCTTTCAATAATGAAAGTCAAGGCTTGAATTTTTTCTTCAGTTCCCCCAGCTTGAGGAATGCTGAGCGTGTTCTTCCTTTTTGATTTTCAGACTCCAGATCTTAGCATATTTTTTTGTAATATTTGGCCAAATATGACCTTGAATATACCCCACCTGAATTTAGAGATCATCGTAAGAACAGATTTGATACATTAAACACTAAAGACAGAAGACCAGAAGAGTTGTGGGATGACATCAAGAACATCATACATGAAGAAAGCAAATAGTCATTAAGAAGACAAAGAAAGAAGGAAAAGGTCAAAATGGATGTTAGAAGAGACACTGAAACTTGCTCTCTAGTGTAGAGATGCTAAAGCAAATGGAAAAAATGAGGAGGTCCCAGAGATGAACAGAAAATATCAAAGAACAGCTCAAGAAGATAAAGCTAAATATTACAACAAAATGTGCAGAGATCTGGAGTCAGAAAATAAAAAACAACATTTCCTACTTTCCCTTAAATCCTATTATTGTTAATTAATCCATGAGTGCGTGTCTTTTTATTGTTACTATCTTTTTATTTAATTTAACTTTTTATTGTGAAGTAAGTGAAGGTTTACACACAAGATCATCAGTATTACAATTAACAAATACCTACACTTTGTTTTATCACAGTGATTGCAATCCCCTCCCTGCAACAGCAGTTATCCAGCTTTCTCCCTGTGATTCCCATTTGCATTCCACCAACTTCCCAGCTCTTCTTAACTTTGTTCTTAGGAAAATGTTGCCCTTTAGATTTTGAATGATTCCATGATGAGCATACCTTACTAGTGTTATTGTCTTCCACCGCCAACCTATCTACACACACCCCCATATACCTATCAACTGTTTGACTGGAAATTGGGCCATGAGGGTGAGTTCCTTCCCAGACCTGAAGGGTGGTCGAGGGCCATAGCCTCAAGCTCCTCCAGTGCATGATCACATGCCTTGTCATCAAAATCATAATGGCTCAGACCACAAGGGTTCTGCAGAGCAGCAATGACAAAGAAAATACCTGCAGATGAACTCGGTTTCTTCCTCACACTTGGTGGCACATTCCTCCGAACTTCCTGCTTCTAGCTGCTTCTTGGTGACACTATACAGTGAAGCCCCCTCGGTATTTACATAGTTATCCAGGAGATCTCCTTGACCTAAAAAAGGAGAATAAAAGAGGAACAACTGGTGAAATGAATCAACTCCATTACTTAATTACTATGACTTTGTTATCTGTTTGCTCTGTATCAATGAAAGGAGATTTGCTGGTTTTTGGAAGTAGAATGGATGGTCGTGAATACAATTGGTGAGTTAGGAAATTGTAGATTGCTGTAATATATTAAAGTGTGTTGGTAGTAGGCTGCATTGTGGAGTCATGGTGTGGCCTGTAGAATAAACACTGGGTAGCAAAGTTTGTTGGAACTGAAAGGTTGGTGGTTCAAACCCACCAACCACCCTGTAGAGAGTTGCTATGATTCCAAACTGACTCAAAAGTTCCTAACAACAAGAACTACAAAATTGCATTATATTAGTACAGTAACTGGATTGATAAGTTAGAACTACTTAGCAGCATCTAAGTTACTATATTAGTGAATGGTTGTGGGGTGTGGCAGGGAGTTGAGTCCCATAGTGACCCTGCATAAGGTTTCTGATGCTGCACATTTTTACCAGTGCAGAAAGCCTCATCTTTTTTCTTGCAGAATGCCTGGTAGTTTCCAACTGCTGACTTTTAGGTTAGCAACCTGACTCATAACCACTATGCTACCAGAGCTCCTTATCTTAATGAATATTAAACTACACACAGGAATAACATTTGTTATTGCTTTGCCATGAAAGAGCATTGAGTGATCATCAGTGGAGACAAGACTTCAAGTGGTGATAATGTTACCAAGTTTAGTGGAATTCTGTCTATTCTTGGACATAAATGAGACTTAGAGGCCAATTGTTTGATGGTGGCATGAACATAGTTACACCTCGAGGTGCAAAAATTTTAGTAAATTGAAGGCTTTATTAAGAACGAATCAGAAGTGCACTAAGTTGTGGAGTTCCTTGGTGGTACAAATGGTCAATGCCTTGGGTGCTGAGCAAAAGATTAGAGGATCGAGTCTACCCAGAGACACCTTGGAAGAAAGTCCTGGTAATCTCCTGGAAACTCAGCCATTGAAAACACTATAGAGCCCAATTCTACTCTGACACACGTGAGGTCACCATGAGTCAGAGTTGACACAACAGTAACTAGTGGAACTAAATTGTGATTCATTTCAGGTAAAAATTATTGGGGGATAAGACTCATCTAAAACACAAGACTCTTATTTTCACACTGGGCACAGTGACACACCACAGTTACTGGCAGGTAATCTTTGCAACAATATTGTCAGTTTTCTGGCCTTTAGGAGAATACTGCACAAAAGCAGATTGTAGGATAAACACTGGCCAGGATTAGTCTGTGAGATAAAACTGGAGGCCAAGAATTTGTCTGAAAGCAACTTCCTCCCTTGTTGCTGCAGAAGTAGCCAATGGGGTGCCAGCCATGGTTCCACAGACAAGACTGCAAACAGTGGTCATTGTCCTGAGGCTCCACACAACACCTAACCTGATTTTGTCAGGGCTAATCCAAGTCTGGTGTGGAGTCCTGGTGTGGTGCTGTGGGCTAATGTATCAGACTGCAAAGTCGTTTGAACCAGTTGCTCCTTGGAAACCCTATATAGAGTCACTATGAGTTGGAATCAACTCAATGGCACTTAACAACAACAACCCAAGTCTGGAGTCCTCCTGTGGTGCTGTAGGATAAAGCACTAGACAGCAAGGTCAGTTTGTACTGTAAGGTGGGCTCTTTGAACTCACCAGCCACTCCTCGGAAACCCTGTACAGAGTTACTATGAGTCAGGAACTGACTAGATGGCATTTAAAAGAAACACTATATTCCATGTCTGGAGATGCAAGCTCTATCCTTTGGGTATGGAATGTGCATGACTTCCATAGGGGGACATGAGAGGTATGAACTAGCAGTTTTCCCTGGATCAGGCACGATGGTGCCCTTGGCTACACAGAGAAGAGAGAAGAACAAAGCCAGGGTGGGTGGGAAAAGCAAGGCTATGAAGTTGGCAATGGGGACGCATGAGAGAGACACAACTTTCAGAAGTCCACAGTGACTGGAGCAGTTTGTGGAGGGAATGTGCCATCATGGAATTTGTTTTAATGATGAGACCTTCTAGAAAAACTGACAAGAAAAACACAAAACAATATAGGCAGGCCGACTGATTACTACAAGAACAAACAAGTGGCTCACCCAGGAGACATCAAGGCAAGTGGTTGGGTCCCCCTCAGTGCAAACCCCCTTCTAAGACTAAGGCTCAGTGGGAATGCATGCTCTGATTGGTGACCACGTTCATCACTGATAAGGGGAAGTGAGGGAAAAACAGCAATGAAGATATGAACTAAGCCCTACAACACTCAATAGACTCCTGTGAACCAGATGGAGACCTGGTTGGCCAGCAGTGTGCCAAGTACAGAAAACTCTTGGACCTGGAGTCAGCGACATAGCCACAGAGGACTAGAGTGGAGAGTGAAGCATCCAGCTGATAAGAAGAGAGGGCACATGCATAAGTACACCCACACTTGCAAATAATACCCACTTGACCTGGCTTCAATGACTGGATGATCAGAGCTCAAACAGAAGAAGAAAGAAGAGGTAAAAAAGAACAATCTGACAGAATTTGATGAACTTGACATACATCTATGGAAGCAATAGCTCAAAAGAGTGAACAAATCTTCACAGCGAGGATCATTCTCATCTCCTCCACACACGGAGAGGACAGGGATGGGAAACTTGGACATTGGCCACCCAGAAAGGGGGGAAGGGGGCTACAGAGGCAAGAAGTGACTGGCTTACAAGCTTTCAAGAGGGAACCTAGATTCAGAGGTCATGGAGCAAGGTAAAATCTCCACTGAGTAATATCCATTCTGCCTAATCAGGGCTGATGAAAGGAGATGCTGATAGGTCTCTTGCGATACAATAGCGAATAATTGTTATCAGGACTGATTGTAAGGGCTGGAAATGTAAAGGTGGACATTTTGGGGCAAAGGGAGGGGGGCGATTAACCCTACAGTCTAGGAGCAGAGGTCCCTGGGACCATCAAAGGAGAAGAGCAGATAACTGAACCCTACCCAGAGAAGCAGCAATGCCAGGGATGGAGGCAGAGACAATGACATGGGGAGATGGAGTGGCTGGAGACTTTGGACCAGGAGAGAGAGAGAGGAGCAGTGTGCAGATGATAGGGGGGCAGGCTTGCGGGGTATATATACCCTTTGGTTGACTGATGATGCATGGAAGGGATTGTAACCATGGCAAGGAAATGATACATGACAGGATCAATGTGAAGCTGATGTCCTCCCATGTAAAAATAATAATAAATAAATAAAGGATGAGACCTTCTGAAGCTCATCTGTATATGGAAGAAATGTGTCTAGCAGAAAGGACCCCTAGGGGCCTGATTCTTATTCTCAGAAAGACCTTACCTGCCCACCCTGAAAATACACATGCGTGCTAGAGGAAGATGCACCCTAATGGATTCTTGCAAAGTTCACCTGTTCTCTACACCTGCTACTGGTTCCTTCCTCAAAAACAACATATTAGAAGGATGGATCCTTGAATTTGGTTGATGCGATTTAAACCTTAATACTCTAGATAGCATTTGAGAAATCTGCCCGAAGATTATGGGAAAAAGTATATCTTTGTTCAATATCAAAATCTCAATCCCAAGAAGTGTCATGCTTTGGTAAATTCGGATCGCTATGTGATCTCAAAACCAAACACACAATAAACCTGTAAGTTGTCACTGATAAAATGTTAAGCTTCTTGAAGGGTTCTGGGAAGCATAGCAGCCTAGTCTATGTTTGAAGGTGACATTGTTATTTTAACTGACAATGAGCATAGTTCCACCTCAAGGTGCAAACATTTTAGCAAACTGAAGGTTTTATTAAGAATAAAGAGAAAATTCCTTTTTATATCATCCTTGCTTTAGGTTCCCTCTAAATACACGGCAAATTACAACTTGTAAACCCACTGCATCTACCTTAAGAGCTAATGTTCCAAAGAAATATTCTAGAAGATGATTTTTTGTTGTTGTTTTGATACATTTTCAACAAAACTTCTTTTTTATTGCACTGTAGATCACATTGTAATGGGGTGCAATCTTGTTTATTTGGAGAAGGAATATTGAACACATTGTTTTAGTAAAAGTATTTTTATTTTTATTATATTTTATTCTTCTTCTTAGGGGTCAAAAGTTGGCATATATGAAAACCAAAGCAAATATGTTTTATTAGTAATGGGGAGAATTTGAAAATCACTTTGGTGTGTGTACATGCTTGTCTGTTTGAAAGCAAACCATAATGGTTGGTGAAATGCAAAATGTGTATCCAGTTCTCAGAATCCACTGGAAAGAGTCGGTGGTTTGTTTTCTTTTATTTTCTTTCTCTGGGCATTTCAGCACACTGGAAAGATGAAAGCTACTTCCATGGAGTATAACGGTAATTTATACTCCTTTCAAAAAGAGGCTTAGAAAGACAGAGATTTTTCTAGGTTGGTTAAAACATATCCTAACACTGGTGCAGAGGAGGCTGTGCTAACCCTTGGATGCAATAAGTCCTTTTTTTTTTCTGGCTCCTCCTTTCCATGGCGGAAATAAAACAGACGTCCCCTCAGCCACCACAAACATACACAACCACTACTCACGAATCCTCTTTGTTTAACCTTCTCCTGCTCCCTATTTTCTTTGCCATTTCAAATGCATTAAATCCAAATATATTTTATTCTCATTTAAAATGCAACTTGGAAACTTTTATCGGGTCATTTATAAAGTAGATTTTAGGTGTCTGTGCATTGTTTCTATAAAGAACATTAGATCAGTGGACAATTCCATTTTATGGAATGCCCGATTAGGCAAATCTGTAGGAACAGAAAGTACATTCATGGTTGCTGGGGCTGGGGTTAGGGAGGAAAAGTGGGGCATTGTGGTGGGGAGGGAAAGGAGGGGTAATGGCTAAGTGGTTTATTTGGGGGGTAACAAAAATGTCCTCAAGTTGAGTGTGGTGAGGGAGGCACAGCTCTCAGCATATGGAAAGCCATTGAGTTGCATACTCACATAGCATAGTGAATCATATGCTACGTGAGTTAGACCTCAATAAACCTATTAAAAAAGAAAAAGAAGGCTACTAGGACATTTTTAGAAGATTTTAAAGAAGGTTTAAATGGAGTTAAATCAGCAAGAACACTAGAATCCTCCTTGGAAAGCCCTGGTTTTAATCTTGATTTCTTCATTTGCTGGATTTGATAGTTGGGCCAAGAGATAGATAATAACATGATTTTTCCAAGTCCAGATTCCATTGTCTTCACAGCGTGGATAGATAAACTGAATTTGTCCTACCAGGTAAAAATGCCAGTATGAATAAAGAGGTTCGAATCATCAACCTTGTGTAGCAGTCCATTGCTTACCCTACAGCACCACATCATGACTCAATGTAAATATTTGTTGTTATTGTGTGCCATGGAGTCGGTTCTGACTCATAGCCACTTGTATAGGATTTCCTAGGAGCAGCTGGTGGGTTTGAACTGCTGACCTTGTGGTTTGCAGTATAGTGCTGATCCTACAGGGCCACACCAGAAGTATTTATCTGAAGATAGATAGATAGATAGATAGATAGATAGATAGATAGATAGATAGATAGATAGGACATATACATGAAAAAGTACCCCAAACACTAAATGAATTCATCTACACACATCATTTGGTAAGTTGCTGCTATGATTTTTCCCTGCATAAGAAGCAGATATGTAAATATGGAAAGTGTTACTTAAGCCATGGCAAACAGAAATGGTGAGTCCAATTACATAGACTGGTCAAACAGATGCAAAGAGATCATTCATTGTTTTAAATGAATTTTGAAGGGAGAGGTACATAATGCCTTCACAAACAGGTTCTGAATTCATCATACTGAGAATCAGGCAAAGAAACTAACAGCCTTTGGTTTGTTAGTTGAAGTGATCTTTTTCCGAACTAAAATAACAATCCTTTGGGCTGAATCTTTTCGATTTAAAGTCATTCATTATTAACTCTACCCGTAGGTGTTCCCTGACAGAACTTACATTGACATTAAATTTAAGTCTGAAGAGTTCCTCCATCTCATAATAGATTCTGAACTGGGGTGCTTGTGTAATGAAGAACTAAATCAAGCAAGGTGTGCACCAAGTTATGGTATGAAATAATAGTACAGAGCACATCCAGACATTGCTAAGATGAAAATAAGAGGCATTTGAGTCTTACCTGATTGCAGAAATAGAAGAAATAGAAGGACCACGTTCTTCTGTTCCATTTTGGGACTGGCCAGCAGTGTCCAAAACACAGTGTGTCCCAAGCCCAAAATGTTACTGACTCCCATCTACAAACAAGATAGACCTGTAAAGTTAATGATTCTCTTAGAGGTCCCTACTCCAAAGGGTCCAAACATTACCTTGAGTAGGGATCTTGCAAAATGTTTGAGAGCAGGATTTGCAATAGATGCTGGGAAGTGGTGATAACAATTCTCCCCCACTTGGACGCCACAGCTGCCTGCCTTTGCGCCCACTTCTTCATCTTTCCCAATCAGTCTTTTTTCTTTCCCTCTGCTTCTGTTCCCTTTGTATTGCCTAGAATAATAGTCACAATAATAACATTTTAGTTATCTAGTAGCTGGGCAATAAACGAGGAAGACTGTAGAATAATCTTCATTTGAAATATAATGTTGGTCAAGAATCATGAAAGTTCTATGGATTTCTAAAACAAATCTGTGTTGGCTGAAGTGCAGCCAGAATTCTCCTGGACAGTGAAGATGGTAAGACTTTGTCTCACATAGTTTTGACACATTATCAATAGGTACAAGTCCCTGGAGAATGACATCATGTGTAGTAAAGCAGAGAGTCAGAAAAAAAGAGGAAGACCCTCAACGAGAAAGACTGGCATAGTGGTCACAACAATGGTCTCAAACACAGCAACAGTTGTGAGAATGGCATAGGACTGGGCTGTGTTTTGTTCTGCTGTACATAGGATCCCTGTGAGTCAGAATTGGTTGGATGGCACTTAATGACAAGCACAGTGATGAAGATTTTTGTTGTTTTTACATTATGGTGCAACCTATATCAAAGGCTGTGGTCTTTGATCTTAATTAGTAAGAATTTTAAATCCTCTTCACTTTTAG